CCAATGTTGTGTTTTTATTAAAATTACTAAGTAATGCTATGTTCAATTATATTATGTCTGATGATGTAGATAATTCTATTGAAAATAAGAGAAAGCATAGTAACTACTGTGAATCACCTAATATAGTGGTTTTATATGTCTTTTTCATTTCATGTTTTTCTAGGAATTGTGTCTTGTTTTGATCTGGTTTTCCCCATAATACAGAAAGGATAGGTATACATGTAGAGATTCACACATGTGTAGAATTTCTAAATAGTTTATGGGAACAGATTATATAATGCACAATGTAATGAACAGATACTCTGAAGAAGAGACACTAAGATACCCAGTGCTAATTCTGTAGTGTTATTATATAAAATCTAGCAATACTATTATTCACCATTCAGAGTGATATTAGTCTAGTCTTTTATGTTTAATTTCAGCATACATAAAGATATGGACAGCTACTTCGAAGAGAATGAGAGACATTATGGCAGACATTTTTGACTTCTCTAATGTCTGGTCTTGAAGACCTAAAAAGCCTTCATCATCCTGTTCTGATTAGTTTAGTACTATAATGTTCAGTATGTATTCACTGTGTGTGAAGATGTGGACAACTATTTGGAAGAAAACAAGAGACAATATGATAAGACAGTGAAGATCTCCAGTGGTCTTGCTTTGAAATCCGTGTTTCTAAAATTGTTTCTGTTTTGTTCTGTTTAATTTTACCCTTTTTTTTTTTTTTTATTTTGAAGGTAGTAAAATACAACAGAACAAGACAGAACAAAGCCAATTAAGACAGTGTAGTGAAACTGGTACAGAACTTCCCAGCAGGTTACTGGGATAATAGCAATCGTATCACAGTATATCTCTTTATCATCATAATAGTTGTTCTTTCAATCACATATAGCAAAATAAAATGAAATGCAGAACATTATAGAAGTTATCAAAACAGAATATTGAAAAGTACCATTAGTCAGAATAAAGCAAAACAGTAGTAAAAATATTTGCCTTCAAAAAGATGGTAGAAGGAAATCCCCCTTATTTGCTATATTGCATATGGTCAGCCTCCCAAGAGATGCTCAGATCTCTGGTTCCCATTTGCTAAAGAGGGGCAGGGGAAGTGGGATGTTTGACTCTAACCCCTGCACTATCAGGCTCACTATTGCTTAACAGAGAGGTGAGCTGCTTGCCTGGTTTCCCAGCGTCCTAAGTTCCAACATGGCGTGGATCTCAGGAGACACTGGTGGTTCTCTCCCTGGGGCTGCTGCAGCCTGCCATACCACAACTGCTTACCAGGGAGGCGAGCTCAATTTTATCCTCTTTAAAAAAAAAATAGATACTTGAAATATTTCCCCTTGCTTCAAACACAGCTGTCACTACTTTCTAAAACAGTTCTGAATGTCTTTTTTTCATAAATATCTTTAGTCACACTATTCTGGCTGCCTCAATGTCCTGAATTGATTGAAAACACTTAGGTTTTTAATTTTGGGGAAGAGACAGAAGTCTCAGGATGCCAGATCGGGTGAAAAGGGTAGACGTGGACACAACATGATGTTTTTCATGAGCCTGCCTTTCTGCTGGACAGCATGGGGCAGCAACATTCACTGTATTTTGTATCACAGTTTCACACCTTGGGAAGACACAAGTAAGGATTACCAGAACTGCTTCAGAAAGTAGCAAGAAGGATGGGATGGTATGTTTGAAGCAAGGAGAGGTATTTTGAGAGGCACTAATGGCAATGTGTCTTTTACTATACCTTTTAAAAATACCATAAATAACTTTTAAATGTTCCTCCTATGTTTTGATCACCCCTTGCGTGTGTTGTTCCTTCTACATGTAAAGCCCTCGTCTCTTAACTCTCATGGACTAGCTAATTTTTCAAAATTTAGCTCGGGCATCATCTCCGTGAAGGTTCTGTGGTACACAGAGACAACTGAAATTTATCAACTAAATTAGAATTACTTACATTATATATATCTAAAATGTATCAATAAAATTTTTTTAAAAATCCTAGCTCCAAAAGCAATTTTAAAAATGTTCTTCTAAAGAGCCTTTTTTTTTTTTTTAAAGCAATGTCTGCATTATTGGGTTTTCAAAAATGATAGCTGTTAGAATGGAATGCTTTAAGAATGATGATTTCTTGACATTATTGCATAAAAAACACATTCTCTTAATTGTTCCTGCCCTTAACGACAGTATGCCTAAGTTCTTTAGTAAAACAAAATATTGCATTTTCTTCATTTAAATATGTATATATTCCTTATTGTGCATGATTGATGTATAAATACATGATTCACTCTGCCCATATTCCTATAATGCCTTTTTCTGTGTCATTTATTGTATTATAGTTGGTGAACAAAACCTTAATAGTTGGGGTTCAGTTGTGCAAAAATTTATAGTTGGTAAGTTGATATTAATATATGAATCAAAGTGACCTAAATTGGTTGGTCAAGTTCTTGAATTTTAATATAACTTGCTAATAACCTATTATAAAGTTGTGAAATCTGTAAAACAGTACCTGATAAACATCATTATTTTCTTATTCCATAATTGATGAATCAGATTGTTACAATAACTCAAGTCAGAGTGAGTGTTTTCTCCTAATGTACTGATATTATTGTGGTACTTACTCATTTACCAGTAGGGAAATCTGGAGCAAAGAAAAAAGAAAAGGTAAAGTCTCTTTGCTTTTTGAAGAAAATATTCTATTTCTTGCTTAGGATATATTACCTGTGCCATTTAAAAAAAAATCAGTTTTTTTGAGGTATACATTTATTTTGATAAAACATGCTAATTTTAGGGAAGGCACACTAGTCTGAGGTTGAAGGGGAATGAAACTCCTGACCTACTATGTGTACGAGTTTGTGTTCTCTAAAATTGAAGAATGAAATTGGAGGTTAACAGCAGGATATATTTATTGAGAGAAAGCTTCTGTCTGAGAGAGACATGGAAGGGATCCCCTAGCGGGTTGCCAAGGACTCTCTTTTCCAGGGACTTTTATAGAGCAAAATCATGGGGCAAGGCGGGTTCAAGGTGGAGGGAAACTGGGAACTCACAAGGCATAAGGTAGAACAGAACTACAGCTAACCAGTAAGATTAATAGTTAGTTCAAGTACAGTTGATTAAATTGGGGACAAATGGGGAAGCCAGTCCGGTAGAAAGCAGGCATTAGAGTGCCTTTCTGGAGGAGGTTGGAATGGTGACTCCTGACTTCCTCAGGGTGACAGGAAACTATTTAGAGTATCAGTCCTTAGGATGTGAATGCATTTGTTTGATCCTTTGTCTTGAGGCCTGGCCCACAGCAGGAGTCTGTCTCCCCTGCAATTGCAAAGTTTCTGGGCTTATGCACTCCATCCTTTGAGGACCTAGCCCTGCCTCACTGCCTATAATATTTCTAACTAGCTCAGCTGCCTGCAACAGTACAATGTTATTCATTGATTTAAATAAATATTTTATGACTCCTTAAAGTGACCTTTAACCCAGTCTCTGTTTTGGAAATGCATACTAGCAAATGAGTAACTTAATCTGCTTAATTATTTACTAGGAATTTTTGTTTATTGGCATCTCAGTATTGTTTCTTTGAAGGAAGCATTGTGATTGACCCTTTGCTGAAATTTTAAGTACAATATTTGCTTAGAAATTTACAGCAGTTTAAATATTTGAGACTGATGCAACTTTTTTCTAAAATTATTGATTACTTTATAGAATTTTGAAATTCAGCAGCCAACTAAATAACCTCACAACGATCCTTTGGGATGTTGTATTATCTGTCATTTAGCAGTACTGTATAGCCACACAGCCAGATCTTGGTATTGGCTTGTTTGGGGACACACTAGGAGATATTTTCTCTTTTAAACTGAAGACTTGCTATATTTCTGGGTTTAGGGGTGAGACAAAAAGGATCAACTTTGATACCAACTTAAAATGTATACAGCTTGACATCTGTCTTACCTTTTTCCAATATCTCTTTAATCAGCAATTCCCCCTCCTAAATGCTATCTCTGACTAACTACTTCTGTCTCTTAATATTATTTACTTATGGTCTGAGTCATGATCATCTATCTTTCATTAGACTTCCCACACACTCACAGGAATCCATTTTCACAGTATGAATGAAGTGGAGTTTAATCACATACACCTGATAAGTGCCATCCACTTAACTCATCAGTGATTTCTGGTTTTTTTTTTTTTTTTTTGTCTTTTTCCTTTTTATTGGTACCAGGGATCGAACTCACGACTGCCTGCTTGCAAGGCAGGCACTTATGCTGCTGAGCTAAATCCCCAGCCCCTCATCAGTGATTTCTGATAGAGTCCATTCTACTTGTGAGATCTGATGTGATGTAGCTTTTCTAGGTTCTCTGAACCAGAGATCTATCTTCTTTTAGTTCCTCAATTGTACTACTATTTCTTTCACCACAGGACCTTTGAGTGTGCTGTTCTCTCATGATGTTGCTGGTCTTTTACTGGTCTTTGAATTTTATTTATTTAAAAATTTTTAAAATTTTAACAATGGTAAAATACAACCAAACAAGACAGAACAAAGCCATCAAGACAATGCAGTGAAATTGGTGCTGAGCTTCAGAGAAGGGTACCAGGATAACAGTACTAAGGTACCATAGTATATCTTGTTATTTTCACAATAGTTGACCATTCCATCAGGTATAGCAAAATCAAACCAAAAACAAAACACTATAAAACCAATCAAAACAGAATATTAAGTATAGCAAAACAATCAGAACAAAACAGTGAAAATGATACTGGTCTTTAACGGGAAGATAGAAGGAAATCCCCCATATTTGCTATATTCCATACTGTCATCCTCCCAAGAGATGCTCAGGCCTCTGGCCCCAAGTCAGCATAATCAACCAAAGAATACAAGCATTTAGTTGCTGTCAACTCCAGCAGACCTCAAAACCGTCCAGTTGCTAAGGGAAGTGGGGGCCCAGGACATTTGCTTCTCAGTCTGCGCACCAGTAGGCTCACGGGATGCTGACTCATTCTCTCCTGGCTGCCCACAGCTCACACCACTTACCAGCAAGGATGGCCCATCGCTTCTTGGTTGGTCCCCCAAGTTGCAGCATAGCTGGTTCTCGGGAGACACCGACTTGTTCTCTCCCTTGCGCACCCTCGGCTGGCTTGTGCTGGTTGGTCTTTAAACTTTAAAGATTGCTTGTTTAATGAACTCTTTCCTCATAGCCTCTCTCCACTGTCTAATCCCCTTACCTGCGTAGCTCTTGTTATATAGTTTTACAGCTTTGGGAACCTTCCCTCTCTACCGTTCCATGACGGTATGTTTGGTAACCCTAGTACTCAACAAAATTTCTAGCATATGGTATCCATTATGTAAATGGATGAATGAATGAACTAACGAATAAACAGTATCGACTATGTGTTGAAATAGTATAATGCTTCACTGTTGTCAGATTTTTGTGAATAAACTGCTCTTTATTTCTGTATGCATAGGTTATGCCTGTGCTCTACAGAGGGACATTTTGGTTCAAGTGACTATACCTTTCACAACATTGGCTGTTTCTATAGCAACATCTTCAGATGGGAATCTACAGTAAGACATATTCTTGCATTTAATTTGTTGATACAGATAATTGTATAGATAGAAATATACACAGTCCTCTTTAAAACAATGTATAGTAGATGATTTTAAGGTAAACCTATGTTTATTTGTGCATCTGTATTAAAATATGTTACTTATAGTTATGTATTGAATGTATAAATGTATTTTTCTAACCTAGTATATTGAGCTGCATTTGTACTTAATATAATTAGAGGAAGATTTCAAGCTTTGAAATATATACCTTGAATGTGTACTGTGATTGTGGCTGCCAACACCATGTCTTATGTGAAAGGTTGTCTGAATTTTGCTTTGTGTTTGTTGATAACTGTGAACACCCCCGTCTTTGCACACTTGGTCTTAATGTTACTCACAAGAGTTGATGGGTGTGAACCTGTAGGAGAAGCGTGGCTGACTGATGACCTTGTTTCTAATAAAGAATGCAAGCCCGTTCATATTAACTCTTTTATGTTTTTCATAGAATATTCTGGATTAGACTGATATAACACTGTGTGTTCTCTATTATATATGTTTGTGAAAAATACCTTTTAATTTTTATTCTTTTGTATGTTTAGATTTCTATTGCTTTAAGGAATATAACCTTCATGACCAAGGAGAAGACTGCCCGACTCATCCCAAATGCTATCCAGATTGTTACAGAAAGAGAAAAGGTAAAAATATTTTCTGCCTTTGCCATGTTATATAATGTGAAGAAAATCTGCCTTGTACTGATTGTCAGCATTTGGAACATAGGCAGTTCTTCTTCGAGTTAGGAATCTCTCTATATATACACATTCTTAAATACTGTTGATTAACTATATAAATTGCTGACTATCTTTGTACTTAAAGTGTACAAGAACTTTCACTCATTACCATTTCTTCATTGTAAGAGATAGGGTAAGCATTAGCAAGATGTTCCCATGATTTCTAAGCTTTCTAATTATGTTGTGTTGTTTAGCCAATATCTACATGATGGCAAATAGTAAAATCTCTTGTGTTCAGAGATTTGTGTAACATTCAAGTAAGCACATAATTGTTATCTTTTTCTGATCTGGTAATTATTTTTAACTGCTTTTGCTTTTATTATTCACCTACAATAATTGCCATTTCTTAGACGAGATATATAAATGATCTCTCTATATCACCTGAAAAATTGATCAGGGCTCTGCAAGTAACATTAGGATCATAATACTAGGAAAGAAAAACAGATAAAGGAAAGTAGGAAAAAGAATGAAGGAAGGAAGGAAGAGAAGGGAAGAAACAGTGAATGAAGGTGTGAGAGAAAGAAGCAGTATAGTGAGTTTGACTCTGTGTAACTATAATATTTAGTCTTGTAAAGTTTCTTTCTATTGCACTTTAAGTGATTTATCTATTTTTTTGGCTCTGGGGTGTAAACACAGAGCCTCATACATGTTAGGTGATCACTGTACTACTAAGGTATATTTCCAACCCCCATATTTTTATTTATTTTCTCTTTGTGGTATTGTGGATTGGATCTAGGGAGAGCTGACCTACATCCCTAGCCCTTTTTAAAATTTTTGTTTTGAGACAAGGTTTCTGTAATGTCTTGAACTTGCAGTCATCTTTTCTTCTGCCTCCTGAGTAGCTGGGATTATGGGCGTGTGCCACTGTGTCTAGCTCTCCTTGTTTTTAGTTTTAAATATTCTTACCCTTCATAACACTTACTTAGTACTAAGACCTTTTTCCTCAAACTATTTCAGAATAAATTGTCACTGTGATGCTTCATCATCCTAGAAATTCTGTTGTGTACAAGGGATAATTAAAATATATCGTGACTAAGTTTTTGTTGGATAGTTGAACAGAACTGTTTGCAGTCTCGCTGTTTGAATTCCCACTTTATATGCTCCACTTTAGTATCTTAAACAACTATTTGTAACAGTACAGTATGTAAATATCAACTAGTGATTTCTTATTGTTTGTTTTTTTCTTTGAACGTATGTATTATTTCTACCCATTTTCTTTTTTGTTTAGTCTTTCTTTAAATAAAATTTTTAAAAAATATGGTGAATATTTTCATTTTAAAAACTCTTATTACAGTAAAAGACATAACCAAGCATGATGGGACAAGTATGTTTGAAGCAGGTTGAGTTGCTTCTTGGCCTTTTGGCTAAGATCACTTGAAGTGAGAGGGAGCATTTTGAGTGTTTTGTGGGGGATCAATATCAATGCCTTTTACTATACTAATTGTTAAAATTTAAACTTTTGTCTTATGTTGATCAAACTACATTGATTAAATGTTTGCAGCAATTTCTGTCAATAGAAACATAACCAATTACGGTATGTTCTTATCCATCTTATTAACCATTACGGTATGTCCTTATCCATCTTATTAATCAGATGTGACACTATGTAACTTTTGACTCTTCCTCAAAGTCAAAATGACAATGAAAGGTAAATGCTTTGAATCAATTCAGGCTATCCAGACAACCATGGTCTTGAAACTAGAGAAGGTCACAAAAGAGGACTTCAGAACTGCTTCCGAAAGCGGCAGAAAGACAGAATGAGCATGCCCAAAAGAGGGTGTCTATTTTGAAGTGGATTAATGGCAATGTCTTTTTCCATAGTAAGTTTTAACTTAAATCTTCACTGTATATTGTGATCATACTTCATATTTCAAGCAAAGACTTTGCTGGAAAGTTATTTTTCTTTATAATTATAATATTTTGACAAGGTACTTTGAAACCATTAACTCATCAAATTTTAAATTTATTCATATTTATTTACTTATGTTCATTTATTACACCACTGTGAACTCACATTATTTTTTATTTTTATTTTTTAATCTTTTTGAGACAGGGTTTCCCTATGCAGTTCAGGGAGATACTTTGTGTCTTAAGCTGGCCTCAGAATCGCAGCAGTCCTCCTGCCTCCCAAGTATTAGCATTACCATTGTGTCCACAACGACTGTACTTTTTGTTTTATTTAGTAAGTTTTAATCCATTCCTGGTCGTTCTTTCTGGCCAGTCTGTCACAGGGTCACTGTGTGGTGGCTGCACTCATCGTGCTCAGATCTGACCCCCTAGCACAAGACCACCTTCACGGACACTGCTTCCCTGCTCCACTGTGGCTCTGATATTCCTTTGTATGCTGCGCTGTTGGTAGCCACCTTTGATAATTTTAACATGGCAACCCTCCTGTGGCTCTGCCTTCTACCTCTGCCTCACACTTTTCTTGCTCTGTTCTTGTGTCACTGCTCTGTTCCAGGCCACCACACAAGTAGGGGCTCTTTTTACCTGTGAATTCTGACACTCCGAGTGGAACGACCCTTCTGTGTGGACACCCTTGCTATTTTTGGGTTCCAGTGCTCTGCTTTGAGTTACTGTAGCACCTCTGCCCCCATCCTCATCTTTAATGTGATGCCTACTTTTTAAAAAAAATTTTTTTAACCAAAGCCTTTAGGGATGGACTGTTCAGTAAGGAAGAACTATAATGTACTGATTTTTAACTTTACAGTGAATACATGCATACATTTTTATTGCTTAAAAAAATCATCAATTGAAGCACACACCTCCCCTCCCTGGTAAGTGGTGGCAGTGTGGCAGACTGCCACCTTTCCAGGGGGAGAACCAGCAGCAGCTCCTGAGATCCGCGCCATGTTGGAACTTAGGATGCTGGGAAACCAAACAACTAGCCTGCCAGTCCCTGCTAAGCAACAGTGAACCTACTGGTACATGGCCTAGAGTCAAACATCCTACTTCCCCTTCTCCTGTCCCCCACATTAGCAAATGGGAACCAGAAATCTGAGCGTCTCCTGGGAGGTTGACCATAGCAAATAAGGGGGATTTCCTTCTACCATCTCTTTGAAGGCAAATATTTTTATTACTGTTTTGCTCTATTCTGATTAATGGTACTGCTCTATTCAATATTCTGTTTTGATAAGTTCTGTAATGTTCTGTATTTCATCTCATTTTGATATACGTGATTGAAAGAACAACTATTATAAAGATAACAAAATATACTGTGATACCTATTCCTGTTATCCCAGTAACTTGCTGTGAAGTTCTGTACCAATTCCCCTGTACGATGTTAGTTGGCTTTATTCTGTCTTGTTTTGTTGTATTTTGTCATTTTCAAAATAAAATTTTAAAAAAATCATCAGTTTAAAAACTAACATCTTCCTCCATGCCCGTAATACTCAATCCCATTACCTTTCTGTAGATAAACACTATTATCAATTTGGTGGGGTTTTTTTTTTTGTTTTTTTGTTTTTGGTACCAAGGATCAAACTCACAACCTCGTGCTTGCCAGGCAGGTGCTTATGCCGCTGAGCTAAATCCCTGACTTTATTATCAATTTGGATTGTATCTTTTTAGACCTTTCAAACATTCTTCCTCTATATTTACTAATATGTGCATATATACATATAATTTTGCTTTTTTAAAAAGCAAATGCAGACTTATTCATGTTTTCTTCAGATGTCCTTTAGAAAAACTTCATCTCTTTTGGAGATACAAATGGACATGTACATAGATCATCTCTGCTTTTTAGAGTGCTATATATACTATTTCTCTGAATGGATATACTAGTTTATTTTTAATGTTTTGTTTGTATAAGTGATGCTGCAGTGAACAGTTTGACCTTTTTAAACTTATATGTGACTGTTTCTAGTACGTGTCATAGAATTTCTGGGTCCAGCATTTTAATTTTGCTCATGATAATAGCATGCACTAACATTTACTGAGTATTATGTTCTAGGAGTTGTTTTAAACTCTTGCCATATGTTTTCTCATTTAATTCTTACAGAAATTTGCTACTATGTTTATTTTCCTTTTGCAGATGAGGAAACCAAAGAAAAGTGACACAAAGTTGTAAGACATCTAAGTGCTGGTCAGAGCCAGTGCAGGCAGTTTATACAGGACATAGTGTGAACTTCTTGTGTTAGCTCAGTGAGTTCTTTGTCATGGGGAGAAACTGTAATACTAAATTTTCGTCCTTTTTGTGTAGTCCAGATTATAGAAGGCTAGTCACGGTTCTTTTGTTTTAGGTTCTAGAATATGTTTTGTACCCCAGCAACTTGATATATCCTTTCTTAGAACTATTCTCAAATTAAGGACCTTATTACTGAACCAAGATTTATTAATAATACATTTATAAGTTGAATATCTAGTAAGGAATAAAGGAAGGTGGTGGTTTTCTATAATCATCCAGGATATTGGGAGTCATAAGGTGCTGGGAATGTGGTGGTTTACGTATAAAAATGGATAAAATTAATAGCAATATTTAGTTCAAGAAGTAAGGATTAGTAAGCATAAAACACTGGTGGAAATGAGATGAGAGATTTTTCTGATCTATACATTGAAACACAGAGTTGTAAAGTTATTTAAACTAAGCCAAACAGGCTTAAGAAAAGGAAATAGGACATAATAGTAAGTAGTAATCATTGGGTTAAACATTATGTTTCTAATAGTATTTGAAACACACTTGGCTATATCTTCTATATAAACAGTCTTGCTTTGTGACGAATCTACAAGAAGAATTAAATTCAGTGAACAGGAAACATCACTTTGAACTCTTTTTATGGAAAACATTAATATTCAAACATAGTTTGACATGTGATTTAATAACTCCAGCCTAAAACTAAGCTTTCTTATTTCTAAAGATAACTAATTAGTCTTTTTTTTTTTTTTGTCTTTTTCATTTTTATCGGTAC